CAGGATGGTCTTGAGAGCCTAAAACCTATCAGAAAAAAAAGACAAAAACATCCTGACTTTGCAGTTTATTTAACCTTTGCTCCTTCTCTGACTAAGGTTTGCTCTATCATTTATTTTCCTGTTATTTCATAGCGATTTCTAACTATAGCAGTTGTTTTATCTTTACTACTATCTCCTTCCTCTTTTTTTATTAGCTCAAATTGCAAAATAATTTTCCCCCAGACAATGAAGAGTTTAAATCTAAAACAAGAAGTTTGGGCTATTTGTCAATGCCAATTTTTGCAACTTGGGTACAGCGAGGATTTTTCTCAGTTATTCCTAGGCAAAGCAATACAGCAATAATACAAACGTGCACCTCCATTTTAATGTCACGTCTGCGCACTTTTACACTGTTATTCCCATCATTATCACTTAGAATAAGGGACTTATTTTTTTCAACCCCCAAATTTACCATGTAATTACTAAAAAAGACATGGGTACCCCCAAAACTTCAGTGGAAGTTACTGCATGGCAATAGCGGCTGGCAAGGAGAAAGCGACAGGCGTCACCGCGCAACGACGTTTTCTCTTAATAACAAGGAAATAATGACAAAAATGCCAAACTGGCAGATATGCCATTCTGGCAGAACAGGCTGAGCAACATGTTCCGGATATTCCAATAAAGACACTTCAGCATGTCACAGTGTCAATATTGCACCATCACAGCGCATAGAGAGCGGAAAGGGATTATTTTTAAAAAATATTTTGGGAAACCTGCATGTTGACTTCCAAGGCAGTGAAGACAGAGACACCGAGGAAGCAATTGCTTAGAATGGAAACCCTGTTAAAGACAGGTGAGTCTTTAAGCAAATAATAAGTCTGTCAAATGCTCCAAAGCCCGGTGAAATGTTTTATTTCCTGAATTTGACCAACAAAAATGTAGGGTAATCTCAAGAGAGAAAACCGCCCAATACAGATGATCTCTGATGAATTATTTGCTGCCACAAAAACATCTTTTTTCCATCTTAAGTACAACAGCGTTTAGCAGAAATCTAAGTTCACTGCAGTGGAAATCCAAGGTTTGGGAGAAGATATAAAAGCTTTTACTTTGTAAGTAACTAAACCTAACACAGATCACCCTCAGCTGCTCACAATTTCTTCAGCTTTTCTGCATAGTAACTGATTTCCATTACAGTACAGCAGTTTCTATCAGACCAGTTTAAGAACACACACTCTGGGGATAGGCTTTGTGGCAAACACTTTGATAACAACATACTTGTATCATATTTATTTCTCTTAGATTTATCCAGCTATTTATGAAAACACATTCAAAGGAGAGTTTCCATTTAAAGCATCAGAACACTGTTCAACATAAAAAGCTAAAAGGCTAAGGTTACAAACCAGTTGTTCCCCATTAAGAATTTTGTAAATTTTGCGTTATTTATTTTTAAGCACGGCAGCCTGGGGATTGAAAACACTTAACGTCGTTTTACAGAAAACTGCTAACAATCATTCTCACTGGAAATCAGAATTAGAGAAGTTCTCATTATCTTCACTTGTATTTAGTGGAAAAATGGTATTTTTGCATTATTGCAGATTGTATCTTTTTGGCAGCGCATGACAGGACTCTAGTGCCACATCCTCCACATGCAGCTCTTCCATCTTTTTAATGGAAGCTCTAAACAACTTTGGAGAACAGAATTAAGGACGTACTGCCGCTTTGGAGAAGCAAGAGCTCTCCTTTCCCTTTGTAACATGTTATATGCCAGGATCTGGATCGTTCAATACTTAGGACACGTTTTCTGATGCACTTTGAGCTCATTTTACGCAGTGAAATCCTGCATGCCACCCTGTCTGAAGCTGGGCTATTCCAACGCACTGTTAGTCACTTTGTCCTTTCCTCTGATTCACCTGCTGAGCTGCTCCCTGACTGCTAACAATAAATCCTGAGTCTGCAATAATATTAAGGCCCAGTCCTGTCCCAAAGAGGTGACACCCCAGCAGGTAAGAATATAAAATTTCACTAATAAGGCATACACTTGCTGAATAGCCCTTGCACTCATTGCTACGAAAGGAATCTATACCCTAAACTTCAATGACATCAGAAAAAAGGCAAACAACTGAAGGCACACAGGTGTGCGCACATCTGGATGGAGGCCTGCAGCTGCGTGCACATCTGGAAAGCTGGGCTTGGAGCACTGCCTTGCACCTCTGCCTGCTGCTCCAACGCGCTGGGTGCGTCGCTGCCTGCTCCTTCCCAAAATCCACCCCCGGCTCCTTCCCGATGCCTGGAAAAGCTCCAGCTGCTCTGGAGCAGCTCGGCCAGGAGCCCGGGGACGGCTGCATCCCCCTGCGATGGGCAGTTCTGCCTCTGCATAAGGCAAAGAGCTGCTCCTTGCAGTGCAGGATACTGTGAAAATAGCCAGGAATTGGAACCGGACCGGTTCTTTTTCCACGTGCCGCCCGGGTCCAGCAGCGGGTTCTCCTAAATGAGCCCTTTGTCCTCCCGCCGCACGTTTGGATCTAATCACAAGTGGGAAATGGGGAATTGCCGGGGAAACTCCACGGCGTCCAGGACAATTCCCCAGTTTACGGGGGTACTTTGCACGCAGGTACCTGCTCCATGCAGGAAGCCTCCCGACCACAAATTCCAGCTTCCCAGCGCAGCAAAACTATGGCAGAGGGCAGGAATCCGGCACGCAAACCACATAAAGCAGCTAATAAAAACCAAGGGCACCGCACAGTCAGCTTAACCCCTGCGGAATATTTGCTTATAAGTAATAAGGATGGGGCACTGCAAGTTAAGGTCACCTTTACTGGGAAAACTTGAAAAGTTTGCAACTTCATGCTGGAAAAAAACATACTTCAAGCTCCACTGATGTTATCAATATATTTTACATTACAAACTTATTTTACAACAAATTTAGATGCCACATGTTAAGGATTTAGTAACACATTTATACATTATAGATTCAAAATGCTAAGTGCCAAAATGTTGATCTGTAAATGCAGGAGACTTGAGTCGTATCTTTTACATCAATAGATGTTTCATGTCGCGTGTCACTTACTCCCAAGTCTTACTTGAAACAAGTCTTTTCTCAACACACAGAACACTGCTAAGGAAAGAAAAGCCTATAAATACTGATGTTAAAAGTTCCTGTAAAACATTTAGCAAATTCAGTGCAATCTCTGCAATGAAAAACAGCAATTCCAACACCTATTTTACTGGTCAAGCTAAATCACAAGTCTGTTTTTAGCAATTAATAAACACTATCTAATCAAATAGGTGCCATCTTGCAGCGCTTTCCATCCTTTACCATATGAGGGATGAATAATTTTATGTTACATTTAAAAGTCCAGCTAACAGCAGGACTTATGGATCAGTGAAGAAATGCATTTCTGTAAGCACTGGGGTGCATCGTATCATTATAGAGAGATGTTTGAGACTGCAGATCACCTAGTTCTCATGCTCCACGTAAGGGAGCACCGTGCAGTCACGCACGATACTGAACATGCCCACATGCTTCCAACACACGGAGATAACCGGCCACACCATCCCATAATAAATGCTGGAGCAGGCACAGAAGAGATGAGCAATTTAAAAGGCAGCCCATGAAAGAAATGTTTGTTTTCAGCAGACATACCAGCCTAATCTATTCCCTGCATTTTATAAATCCTGTAGTTCAATAAACCACCCCAGCAATACGAAGTTTTATTTCCCCGAGTCGCCCTCCAAGCCCCCAACTCTCTTATTCCTCAATACTTCCTCTGCATTTAGCCCTATCTGGATAAACTCACAGCAATCCACTGCACAAGGCAGATTTTCTAACAGCCTGAGGCGTTTTTAATGTCTCCAAAGAGCGAGCCAAGGAACTTCCATGAACATGAACCTGGAGCGGGTGGGCAGAGCGGGGCTGCTCCCGCGGTTCCCCCGGGGATGACAGTGACCCGGGAGCGCGGCGGCCCCGCTCATTAGCACCACAATTCTCCAAACACGCGGATATTCCCAAAACCCTTCAACACCCACCATACGGATTCCTCCCAGCACCTACCTACGGCAGAGGAAACCAAAACCTATCCATAAAGGGGCAATATTGGCTCAAAACTACAAATATTGCAGCTTTTACAAACAGAATACTGTTGTGAGACAGGAGACTTTAGAATCATTTCCCAGAGACAATATGTGTTTTTTAAAGCATCTCTTCCTCATTTTCAAAGAGCTGCTTCCTTGAACAAAGGGAAAAGCAAGCAGAGTAGCTACTTTTGGTTTTATTTCAGAAAGAAAAGCCACCTGTACGTGCTCACACAAAGCTCCCAGCAGCAGAAGGTGAATATAAGCTTTACCAAGGTTTGGCAGGAAGAACAAAGACATACTGTTTTCTTGGGAACTGAAATACTCATTTATATTACGCTCCTTGATAAGGACAACCTGCATAAGCTACCTGTATATTTTGTAATATATATATTTTTTTTCAATATTAATGATTTACATTTTTAAGCTTTTCCTGTACGTTTTTAAAACACAAGACATTACATTTGCATTAAGGCTAGCACTTTAAATGACAGATCAGAACCAAAGCAAGATATTTTTCTTTCTTTATAAGATGAGAAGTCCCAGGAAGCCCAAGTGCACTCCAATACAGCAGGTGATTCCATGCTCGGGTGCGGGAGGAGGGAATGGGAGCATATACACTACAAATAAAGCCTGCCTCAAAGCTTCCCCGTGCCAATTCGAGATCGGTTCTTACAAATTCACATCAAGGTGAAGTTTGCAAACGAACGTTTAGGGTATTGGTAGGAGCAAGGCTTCATCTGCACAATTTCTCTATGTTCCAACAAAAGGGGGAAAGACTCGACACAACATCCATCACAAAACATCCAGGAGAAACTCTGAGGGTCCACAGAGGAAAAGAAGGTAAAAATACTGAGTGCCAATGTCATATAATATACAACAGGGTATTTTGCCACAGGGTAGTCTCACGAAAGAAATCCCACCTTATTATCCTCATTTCTCTCACTTACATGTATGCTGGAGAAAGTGGCGATGACCTGGATGTTTTAAGCACAGGAACTGGGAATTTCCAGATAGCAGGAGAGCTCGTTTTCCATTTCAATGGCATGTTGTCACCACGGTACTACAATAACAGCAAACAGCGTTTCCATAACAGGCTACCAACTAGGACTTCCATTCCCCACGCTGCCGGGGCCGCGGCGGAAAAACCTGCCGATGCCCTTAGAGCGCTGCTGCCGAGCGGCAAAACGGGGCCGCGAGGCATCGCCTGCTTCAGTCCTGCTGTCCCCTAAAGCCAGACGAGGATTCTCTAACTCAACAATAGTGCCACCTCGTTAGGGAAGCGCTGACTGCAGTATATGCTTTAAAAAAAAAAAAAGGAAGAAAAAAAAAAAAGGAAAAAAAAAAAAAAAAAGACTGCACTGTGCACGCCAGCACAATGCAGCTTTATTTAGCGAAAGCAGCTAATTTCTAAAGAGCTATTTCGGAGGCTATTGTTCTACCTTAGCAGGGACACTGCAGCACCGTACTATATTCCCTTCCTATTAACCTGATTTCTGACCAATGGAAGCAGGAAAAAAAAAAAAGAAGAGGTTTCATATGAAAATGAAGCAACATACCTACTCAGAATACACTTGTCATCCTCTGAGCAGTCTTCTTTTGAGCTGCAACAATACAAATGGGATATAAATCTCAGCATAGCCTTAGGCCACGGCTAATAGAGATCAGTGACTAAATTCAGCAGCCTGTTTTCCTCCTGTGCAAGCTCTGACCAGACAATACCAGAATGCCATTATGGAAAAAGCCCATTGCAAAAAATCAGTCCTTCTAATCCATAGCTAGGAAGAGAAAATCAAGCATCAATCGCAGCAGGTTTCTGCATGCTCTTCTAACAGCTTCTGGGTCGGGATGCTCTCATTTTCCTGGTCTCCTTCCCAGGGAGGACGAGCGAAACCTCATGCATTTTACAACACGCGAGGGGAACACGAATCCCGCTCCGGCTCCCGCAGCGGAGAAGCGGCGAGCGGCAGCGCTCGGAGCGACTATCCCATCGACGGGATCATCCCGAGCAGCCCCCCCTTCCCGGCGGCTGCCGGAGCCGCGAGGAAGCGGCCGGTCACGCAGGTGGCCATCGGGGACCGCGCGGGACCTCCCGGGGCAGGCGGGAGGCGGGAAGAGACGCTATGGAAAAGGGGATGGGAATGGAGCACCGGGCAAAAGCACCGGGGCTGCTGGAGGGGGGGAAGCGGCAGAGCTGCAGCTACCCTGAGAAACCCCCGTGCTGAAAAGCGCCCTGGTGACACAGCCCATCGGCAGCACAAAACACCCCTATTTCCAACACTTCTTCTACAGATTTCAGAGCCATCTCACAGCAATTTTTCTTCTCTTCAGGTTAGTTTAGTCCTAGCGCAACGAAGGCAACGCCCTGTCACACGGTGCTGAAATAGAACCGGGAGCAGAATTTCTATAAATACATTTTTAAAGCACTTTAACAGCATTCTGGAGCACTCTGATAGGTTTATCAAAATAGAGGCAAAACCTACAGTATCAAGTTTATTTTGGGGATGAAATCACTAGGCAACAATTGCTGCTTCTGCAGCCGACGATGACTATTGCGAGTGTTTCCCCAAATACAGTGTGGGAGTTTTAAAGCTAGGGAATGAACTGCAATAATCCAGGATGACCACAGCTCAGGACTAACTCCACACCAGACCCACCTCTATGAGAAGTAGCTGAGCTCTCCCACTACTCCAAATAAGTTTTCACTATATATTAACCTTATTAATACCAGCAATAAACTTCACAGAAACTACTCCTCAATGTCACACACGTTTGCTGTGTAGGGCAAGAAAGCCTTTATATGCTATAACTACTAAAAAAACATAGTCCTGAAAAGAGTGAATATGTATTTTTGGCATAAACAAGGGTTCTGCCTTGTGGTAAATCACACATGTGGCTGCAGGCTTGCTGTCTGCACACAGGGGAGGAAGTGCCCCCAGCCTCATCCTCACGCGTAACACCAAGCTACTCCATCATGACCCAGCTGCAAAGGCCTAAAAATAAGTTCAAAGAGAATCTAGATAGCAGGTATTAAAACCATGCACCCCAAAAATGAATTGGTATATTCACTTGGGGGGTTACATTTACCATCACACAGAGAGCATCTTAAAATGAGTAAGTGGCCTCTTTTCACTGGTGGCCACTGACAGAACTAGAAGAAACGGCAACAAACTGAAGCACCAAAAGTTCCACAGGAACTTAAGGAAAAATTTCTTCCCAGTGAGGGTGCCAGAGCCCTGGAACAGGCTGCCCAGAGAGGTTGTGGAGTCTCCTTCTCTGGAGATCTCCAAACCCGCTTGGACGCAGCCCTGTGCCACGTGCTCTAGGTGACCCTGCGTGTGCAGGGGTTGGACTGGATGATCCCTAGAGGTCCCTCCAACCTTCAGCATTCTGTGATCCTGTGATTAAGTGCCGCTACTCCCTCATGTGAAGGGTCCAACCAGTGAAGCCAACTAGTGTTTTTAACAGTCTCTGCCTGCTCTACCCATCCCAAGGAGTTGCTTATAGATTTTATCATCTGCAGCAATACGCATATAGAAGGAAGATTCTGCAGACAATCACGGCCCTACTTTTTGGAAAGTAACACTTGCAATATCCCCTATATCTGCCTTTTGAACAGAGATGGAGAACAGGAAAGCGGAGCAATGCAGGCATCCTCAGACACCGCCTCAGTGCAAGGGAGCTCAAGTCACTTGTCATTCCCGATCCCAAGGAACCCGCAGTGGGCAACATCAGCGTTCCGACCCCTAATCAAACCTAATCAAAACCTTTCCAGTAAAACCAAAAGGCACCACAACAGCACACTTATAAGGCCAGAGTTTAAGCCAAAAGCTGAAGTAAACCCGGCATTTTTCAAGGCGTATCATTTCCAAGGAACAGCCAAGTTGGTCTTCTCCAATGCGGAGCACGCGGCCGCAGTCGATCGGAGCTACGGCACTGGGAAGCAGCGCTGCCAGGTTCTCTAAAAATATCCCCCTGGTTTTGACTTGCAAAAGAAGGAACCATGTGAGGAATGAATCACCTATCTGCACCCAGGTAGGAAACCAAATCAAGTGCAACTGTTTCTTCTTGACAGTCACGAATGGGTTGCATATTCCCCGAGAAAAAAGATTGCTAAAAATATTACACGCTTTACATAATGTACTCTTGAGATAACAAAGAAATCTCAGTATACTATTCTGTTCTTTTAATGAAGGCTTCAACATAACAGGTTAGTCACACATTTAATACCAGGAGGAAATAACCCACCTGATCTCCAGGAGGGCCATACGTGGCTCCGTGGGCTCTGCTTTCTGCTTTCTTACCTGGCATCTCAGCACTTTGCCCTTCGGGCCCAGCTTGACCGGCACCGAAGGCCAAGGGCAGCACGACGGAGCCCGCCGCGCCGAGGAGCCGGTTATTTTAGGCAAACGCTATAAAAACGCACATTTCCAGCACCGCGTTGGAGATCTGCTTTTCTCCAGCACGCGGGAGCAATTGCAAACTGCTCCAGAAAGCTACGGAGCAGGTGGCATAAGAGGCAGGGACAGAAGGGACGCAAGGGAAAAGTTAAAATCATTTCCCTTGCGATTCTTTGCTTTTCCTTGCAGCATTCTCTCCTTTTCCTCCATGCAGCTTAAGGCTTTAAGCTCCTACCATCTTTTGCATATGCCTTTTACACAAAAGCCCTCAAATTCTCCTCTTACAAAGATGTAAGCATATCGTGCTGCATCACGTGTGTTTCCAACAAATAACTTTAGAACCAGTTTTAAGTTTCCCCGTAAGATTTCCCTTCAGGGGCTTTCAGAATAGAACCAGTCTCAGGGAGAAAGAAGCACCTGAACACAGTAGCAATGCAAGAAGATGCTGGTCAGAAAATATTATTCTCAGCCTTGGCATTCCAAAATGAACTTTATAGAAAATTAAGCACTGTAAAACCTATATTCTAGACACGCCACTGAATTTTCAATCTTTAAATGGTTAAAAGGCAAAAACCATTTGCTCAGTCAAGCGATCCGCTCTGCCTATGAAATTTGCAGCTCTGCTTTAACAAGCCTTTTACCTCCCTGCTTTTATTCATCGACCAAGTCTCTGCGGAGCTGAAAGCGCTAGGGAGAAATGGGGCTGGCAGCTGTGACACCCCTCGACTTCACCCAGAAACGGGGGCAACAGCCAGGTCTGTGTGTTTTCTGTCATGAAAATGGTATTTCATAATTAAGCTACTTTCTATCGGAAAAAGTGTTTCTTCGTATAAGAAAAAGTGACGTTCAAAACCAGGCTGAAATGCTGGTGTTAATTAGTATCAGCAACCACCTTCAGACTCTGGAAGATTCACGGTGTGTTTAATTGGGTTCCTCCTTCAGTTCTCGGTTCCCCTTCACACTGCTGCTTCTCACGCCTTTACCTTAGCTCTTCAGCCTGTTCAACCCTGGCTGTCCTGATTAGTGGAAGAGAATTATTAAAAGACAGACCCTCCTGTACTGCCCCATACATAAGCCAGCTCATTAGTACGATTTCTTTGACCATACATCCTGAAGGTGTTAATAGCAAAATTCATACGAGGGTAAAGAAGATACCTGCTTGGCAAAAAGAGTGTGGATGAAACCAGTGCAGTTAAGCCTACAGTCTCTTACAGTGCCACTACATATTAAAATATTAGAGGAAAAAAAGGGGCAACATGTATCTGACCATGTTTTTCCTGAAGCTACAACTTTTCCAGAAGCCCCAGAGATCTGTCTTACAGGGTAGTCTTGCAATTCGATATTTAAATAGAGAAAATATTTAGAAATATTTTAGAAATTCAAGCATTTATATCGCTGCAGAAGAATTACACATGTGCTTTGATTTACTATCTATTATGTTGTCTCAAAGAATTTTTACAAGTGGGGGAAAAAACCCTTCAACACAAGACATGTATCGCAGCACCTTTCTGAAGCATTTGTACAGCAGACATCAAGATGCACAGGGTTTCATAAATAGAAGAGATGATTAAAAAAGATGTTTTCAAACATAATTAATTCCTTTAAATGGAGCTGACTGCTCAGGAAAGAATGAGGAACAGTCACAGAGAGCAAAAGCACAAAATATAGATAAGCAAGTTTTGTGGCCAACCCCTCCTGCTGTCAGCATACTATAAACAGTGCAAG